CTGCAAACAATGAAAATGTTAACAATAATCTATTGTTAGTAGCTATCCAAACGAAATTAATCAGCTGCACGTGTGAGCGTCTTTCGGCAAGAATACGTTTAAGAGCCATTTTCTCCTTAGGTAATACAAGTAATCTCAAAGAGAGACATTGACGAGTAATTGCTTTTATGTTTTAAACTGAGTCAGACAAAGAAAATTTTTAAAATGCCTGCATATTATAGCATCTAAATTCGATTTAGCCTTTGTTAGAGTGGAAGAACTCATTCTCGTCTTGAATCTGCACGTTTACTGGCGCTTTTAATGTTACGGGAGACCATTGTGATGAAATGGTTTGGAGACGCTGCGAACTTTCCAGAAAAACTGACAGAATAGAGGAGGGGGGAGGAGGAGGGGGGCGGGGTTAGTCTGCGTTGACCTGAGCATCCCATCCAAGGGAAATCAGTAATTGTGCTACAGAAACCGGGATAAACTACAGTTGTTAGGGCAACTGCACCGGTTTGAGTACAGTCTTAACCTAATCTTGTAACTAGACCTTCAACAACCAAGCAGTTGTAAGGTCCTACACTTCAGAGACAGTTACATGGCAGGATCTGGGTATTAGATAAACCTTATCTTTTTTTGTGTGTGAGACACTCAATGGTCAGTCGAAAGGAGAGTGTTTGCGCCCTATTATGGTCTAGTCGTGAAGAAAGCTTTCTCCTTTAGTTTCTTTTGTGTTTCACTCAGCCTCCGAGCTCTCAAAGTTGTGAAAGACTTACAATCAAATCGCGAAAATTTCTAGCGAAGTGTGAAGGTGTTTTCTTTGTGAAAAGAGGGTTAAGCATGATGATGTTACATCCATTGACGTAACCGCTCGCAGTATAATTAGCGTTATAACAACAACAGTTTTTTTATTATTATTATCTCTAGGAGTATTATGGTAGGTAAATTCGTTATAGTTTTTCTTTAACAACCAATAGCCGAGAACCAATTAATTATTTCATTTTTTCGTCAACGTTACACAAACGTTTCCGAAAAGAAACAGATAACCTCTAAAATAATGATTACAATGTCAACAAGCACATGCTAATCTCAGGTAATACGTCGGTTTCGCGACAATTTTCCTCCGATACAAGCCTCTCTGAACCTCTTCCCGTCCAGAAAGCTCGCAAAAGGAGTGTCTTTCATCGATAAAGACCGAAGCCCAGAGAGGCAGCTTCATGGTAAGGAAAGGCTGTGACATAAATTTAAAAATGATTAGATCTCTTCCCAACGAATCATCTGGCTCCCATATGGTCTAGCGGTTAGGATTCCTGGCTTTCACCCAGGCGTCCCGGGTTCGACTCCCGGTATGGGAAAGTTGACTCTTCTTTTATTTCCTTCTTCGTGTCGTTCACTGTCTATCTGTTCGAAGAATTTTTCCATATCATTTTGTCGTATTAAGACACTAACGCGTTATTGACCCCGCGGGGCAATGTGATGTCTAAACATGGGGGTGTAAACGTTATTCACACATACAGTTTAGAGGGTCATGTAAGTGATTCAATCTTGTAGACCAAAGTACGGCCAGGGCTGAAACTACATATCTAGTAGGAGATAAAATTTGTTTGCTTGTAGTGACCCCTGATGTAAAAAAAGGGAAAAATATTCTAATCTGTAACATTTTTAGGCCTCTCACGCTCACAAATCGATAACTGATGGCCACATCGCTGATGCACTAAAATTCCGGTAAGTTTGATGTCATTGCTGTCACTATTGATGGCACTGGTGATAACCAATGGTGATGCCGGTGCCACAATTGTTAGCGTTGAAGTTGCGAGCAATTTCATAACATCACTGCTGCCAATTTCGATGCCACTGCGATCAGTTGTATTATTTTCAACGCTGGCGCATGAAACATCAATATAATTGGTGTCATTTCTCGTGCCGTTTACATTATCGTTCAATGCACTACCACGAATCTGGAATCAGTTGCATTATTGTCGACGCTGGTACATGGAATGTTGATATCACTGGTATCATTTCTAATGCCGTTTGCACTATTATCCATTACACTTCCGTTATTTTCATTGCCTTCGCCATCATTGATTGCTGATTGAGTGCCGATTTCCCCACTACCTGTGTCAATAACATCAAAATTGCTGACATCGCTGTCAAAGCCATTGCAAGAAATACGACTTTCATTAGTATCATTACCGGTACCGTCGCCTTCATTTTCAGTTTGGCTATTGCCATGATTATTTCCGATGCTGTTACCATTTTGGGTGCAATCATTCTCAACGTCATTGCCGTCATTGTGGAGACCAATACCAAGACTGTTGATGTCACTGCCATCATACTCAGTGTCATTAGCATAATTTTCAGTGCTGCTTATATTATCTTCAGAGTTATTGTATGTAATATCAATGCCACTGGCATCAATGCCGATGCCAGTTCCGTAATTGTCAATGCCATTGTCATTGCGAGTAATTGGGAAACAGTTATCAGTTGCATATCCTCTGTCATTGCCTGGATATGGTGGGGGAGGTTCCCCAATGTATGACAAATATGATGTTTCAATATGCACCTGTAGCGGCGCGGTGCGTCCTGGGAAAGTGGTCGAAACGAATCCTGGGTAGTGTTCGCGAGAGGCTCTGGCAGAGTGTTGCATGCTGGGTATGTTCACTGTCATTGCTGTTGTATGCTCTTGCCGCTGGCCGCCAAAAATATATTTTCGATCTTTGCAGCACAAGACTAAGAAGATCAGCCCACCAACGACGAAAACCGCGAGAAAAAAGAAGCCAATGAATGAACTGGCGTTGAACGCTGAAAATTGAAAAACAGAGTGTCAACTTAAAATTTTTGATAAATCTAATAAGTATTAAGATCTTCATCTGACTTAAGTAGTCAGCCAGCAACGAAAAGAAAGAAATTAACATCTTGCTGAAGTTTTGTATGTTATATACTCTCGTTTCAAAAATTAATTGATGTCATCAGTTGCGATAAAAATATATAACATTTTCGTACTCCTTGTTCATCTGTCTGTCCGTCTTTTTGTCTGTCTGTCTTTCTGTGTGTCTGTGTGTCGGTGTGTCTGTCTGTCTGTCCTTCTTTCTGTTTGTCTTTCTGTCTGTCTATCCGTCTTTACTTGTCTCACTCATGTCTGCGAGAGATATTTTAATTGTCTATGTCCTAAACTTTTTTTATCGTTGTCTCGTTTTGGTTTGGTCTTGATCTAAGCGTCATATATAATTGCATAAAAAATTGAACCAGGTAAAGAAAACCTTGAGCTGAAAATCTTTTTTACACTGTGGCTAAATTACCTTCCACCTTCTGAAGGAGAGACAGCAAGACTGTGAAGGAAAGCATATAAAGCATAAACTACAATATATTCTTAAGTTCTGATACAAATATTGTTATGATCTTCACTTAGTCGAATGACAATAATTTTTTTCTGAACATAAACTGCATTATTTTCATTTAAGAGTTTATTATTTCTTTACGTTTATGACTACTGAGCTAACTCATCTTCCTTGCTAAAGTAGAGATTTTAAACGTAAATGTCGTGGTATCAGACAGATCTTTTCCTGAGAAAAAAATAGGTTCCAGACGTTTTAAACGGTCATCACATGCCTCCGTTTCCCCATTATCCCTCAATGAAGCAAGAAATGTGATTGAAAGTGGAAAGTAATAACTTGTGACGGATGGATGTGTGGAAGGAAAAAGATAATTGCTTAAAACAACCGAACGATCCAGCTTGCCTTTACGTGAATACTTTCATGATTTCAAGCAAACGTAGATCTCACTTACCTATAAAGACATAAAAACAGGTCTTCATTTTTCAAACAATAACTAAATTTTCCTTTTAAAATATACTGACAGAAAAAAGTTTCTGTGTTACTCCCCACCGAAGTTTCTTAGGAATTTATCCAATAATAATGAAAATACAGAAAACCGAACTAATTACCCGAATGTTAGGCAACTGTTGTGCTATTAACTGCTTTGTTTTGGTGTTTTTATCACAAAGTTTATATTACCTTGGACACGTATTGGGCAGAAGTCCCCAATAACACCGTTACACTCATTTGCTGGCCACACACATGAATTATTAAGTGTGATTTGTTGTTTCCAATTCAAAACAAAAGTGAACCATTCTTTAGGAGTGAGATAAAGAAAGCCTTGACTAAACATTTTCTGTTGCGAATCGACGGAGTTGGCTTTGAAACCAAAGCGGTATCCGAAAGAGGATAGGTTCTTTTATTTTAATATTTATTACTGTCCTTCTTTTGTCGAGAAATATACGCTGTAATTAACGAGTGCGATGCATTGTAAGTTTTAATATTTTTTCTTTGTATACTTATATTTCCACAGTGTTGAAGCTCTAACCGACTACAGAGATACAGGTTATGCAACACTACCCCTCCCCCCTGAAAAAATCTATTGACTCCAAATCTTCACTACAGCAACAATTGAATATTCTACGACTGAATGCAGAATTAAATAATGTCCCGCAACTTAAGTTAAAAAGTAGACATCAGAATCTCAGTTCTAATGTTGAAACAAGTACGATACTATTTGTAATTGTAAGGAAATATTTTTGACTAAGAGTAATAATAACTCAGGATTGAAAATATATCCAGAAATCGTTCAATCACATGATTCAAGCATTAATCACAGTTTTTTTGTGTCAGTTGATTGTTCTGTCTAGCAGCGTGGATCTTCAGCGTAACGCTGTCACGCATTCTTGTCAACAGCAGTAGCAAAACATTGGCGAAACCGGTTGACGTGTTCACCCTAGTAATATTTGCATTAATTGTCACATGCAGCAGCAGTTATCACGTAACAAGCTAAGGATGCAAGTACCTTCGCAAAATCCGTCGATTATCATTAATTAAACTTACATTTACATTTAATTAAGCCCTAGTGAGTAAAACTGATTTTTAACAAAGTTCCTAGTTCTCGTTTGTTCATGAAAGTTTATAGATGGAATATTCAAAAATAGCTCAGCCGTCGGTCAAGTTTGAGTAGTCAACTACTTGGGATACAACTTTGGAATCCGTCGTCATAAAATTAATGTTGTTTTTCTAGACTAAATCAATTAATTACAACCCGCTGGATGATCACTTCTCAGAGCTGGTTGCTAACAGTCATTGCGAGGTATAACCACTTCCTGCTTCATTAAAAAACGATTTAAAATGAAAAGGTCTCTTCTACATGCCAGGGTAAGGTGGGGGAGGCTCTCCCACTAAAATCTCCGTCCTTGGCACCATCATCGGCTGAGGAATTGCGAAGTGCAGACTTTCTAACGGTGGTGGGTAGATTGAATGTAGGAATTCTGGATAGTAATCCTGATGTTGAAGACCGGCTTCGGAAGGCTGCTGTGTGTCACAAACGTTAGTTGTCACGCTAGAGTCACGCGTACGCCGCCTTTTAGAGTTGCAGTCCATGCTGTATTTTACTAACAGGAAAATCCCTCCAAGAAGGATCAGAAGGAAAAGAACTACCAGTACGATGTACACAGCAGATGCAACTCTTTTGAGCGCTGCAAAAAGTGAAAAAAATTGTTTCTAATTTGAGTTGGAATTCTCAGAATTCGAACTGTTTCGCTATGACGAGGGGCTAACGCTCGAAACGTCAGCTTTAAAACTCTTTACGGTGACCAACTTACTTTATCAACTAAGTTGATAATACTTAATTGCCCTGTTATACTCTCTCGGTGGGTGGGTATAACAGGGTAATCATTACAGTTTCTCTATTAACGTACTCCTTCATTCATTTGTGGAATATACAGTTTCACTATCCCTTTGGGCAACCTTTTGTCTTGAAATCCAATATGTAGTGTGTATTGCAATAGTCTATCAGTCTAGCAGCACTGAAAACATCACTATAATCCAATAATCTAGGGATCAAGATTCCAAAGGAATGCCTGGTTAAGCTGTTCTCTTGGTCTGCTTTTCGCCTAATCATTTAAATTCCTTCACAGCTTTATTAAATGGCGTGATGCATTTTGACAGGTAAAGTCGTATCATCACGATTCAAAGGTAAATAAAGTTGATATCAAAGTTGGCATCTCAGAGAGCTCAAGCATTGAACAAGAACAAGCGGTTGGATGAACCAAGCACTTATACAGCGAACAATGACAAGGCTTGAAACAATAACTAGAAAACACCAGAAAACTAGGTAAAGTCAGTAAAGGTACCTTCAACTTCTTGCAAGTGACACAGGAACACTGAAAAAGAAAACAAAGGATATTATTCGTTCAGTGGTTTATTGACCCGTGAATTTTCGCAAAAAAATGTCATATTTCCCTTCTTGTTACACCCTTAATCAACAGCCCTTAATCAACATATGTGCGGGGTGCGTCGAAATAAAATATGTACTTTTCTCGGAAATCGGGTAAGTGTGAATGGTTTCTTGCGACATGTGCAAGGTAAGCAATCAAGCATGTCGAAGTAATTGATTGACGATTAACCGACAACTTGATTTCCCTAATTCCACAAATTTTACTTCTGCCTTATATATACTAGTTTCGAATATAAATTGATTATAAAACTCCTGTGAACCGTTTGCAGCTTTGTTGTTCACATATTCCCCCAATTTTAGCCATGATTACCCTATTCAAATGAATTCAGTTAATCCATGACAACAACTACGTGTGTGCACGCTAGTTTCGAATGTTATCATAATTTCAGAAAGTGACATCAATAATTATCCTAAGAGGTTTGAATATTAGGTATTTGAAAAGCAGGTTCTTTTACTTGATGAAAAGATATGTATATTTTTTAATTCATCAATTCGTTAAGCAATAAAAAAAAGTCTTTCAAACTTTATAAGTGGTGATAGAAGCCGCTGAAGGAAACAGAACGTGATCAAATGACAATGATGTTATGTAGAATTTTTTTACTCGCCAACTGCCTGGTGAATGAAAAACTTTCAACCTAGCATCTAGTGATCGCAAGTTATCTAAGCCTTATATCGTAACTTACAGAAAAAACAAATGGCAGCGTACACTCGTGCGTCGATTTCTTCACTAAATGTGATCGATGACCAGACTGACACTTAATCATAAGGGGACCTTACGCAACCAGGACGGCAACGCCGGGAAAACGTTGACTAAAAATTGAATTTATATCTTTTGTAGAATTTCGCGAATGGATGTTGTGTTTACACTCCCTAACGGAGCCGCTTCTTTACTTCGGCGTAACTTCTGTGAGCAGGGTAAAGTTGAAAATGGAACTTAAATAATTTGTGGTTGGGGTTTCCGTTGTTAAATCATGTAAATTTCGCAGTAGGTGTCATCAAGTTGTCGTTCGCAGAAGACGGCTAGGAAGTGTACAAATATTTAAAACACACGGGCTGAACTGTTGTTCAGACATTAGATCTTTGTTGTTTTACCTCGACCTCGCTGACGTTGTGATTTGCTGAAGTACTCTAATGACTAAATAAAACTTGCTTATACCTCGTGATTTTGCTGTTGTTATCAATCGCATTCCCAAGCACATTGGGTAAAAACACGCTAAGATTAAGAATCCTTACCTGAACAAATGAGATACACAGAGAATTTCATCGCGTCAATTTGATCCAAAGATCACTCGTTAGACAAGCGGGTTACGATATCTTCAATACTAATTACGCTTCAATGACGGAAGGCTCAGTCTGATCACGTGACCTCGCCGGGGTCAGCTAATTAGAAAGTGGAGTGAGTTATTTATTTTTACGTGTGATAACTACTACCGCTAAGAACACTTCCGCATGATATTACCATGATCAAAAATAACTAGAGTCAGAGGTACAATTTTTTTTTTATTCTAGACTTCCTACAAAGTGGAATCCAAGAGGACATGAACTGTAACTTGGTGGAATCATTATGCAATTTTGTGACCTAACGAAGATGTTTTCCATCATTTAGGAACCACAAAATAACAAACACTCCCCTTTAATTTCGAGCAATAACACAACTGTGGCTGAGTCGACAGGAGTGAACATAAGAGGGCATGGATGAAGAAAAGGAGTGCGCACGTAACAGAGTGTAGAGGGGACTCTGGAAAATTGACTGCCAATGAACTGCCAATGCAAAGGGGATAATTATTCCCTCTCAGCAGGGAATAAATAGTGTTCAAGTTAGCTAACGAGCCAGAAAGCTCGGCGTCCCTGGGCTTAACTAAGTTTCAGCGGCGGGAAGCGACTAAAGCTCTTGCCACTTCTCAGGACGGAATACTTGGGTCACATCACTCCAATTATTTGGACAGGTTTTCCTGACAGTTTGCCGCTAGCTTTTGATACTCTTATCCTAACTGCAAACACGCATTATGAGAGTTAACTATGAGTTTAGCGTCTTGCCCAAGAAGGCATCAAAACGCGCCGAACTTTTCGGTCCGTGGTCCTGGATATTAGAGACCAGGTCTTTACGTCTCCTGCCCTTCAGTACGAAAGGCTTTAAAGGCAAAAATTAAATACATGTAAGAGCGATACTTTAGGAAAGTATGCTTGAATATACATATAATGGCGTGAAACAATTATCAAGTTATTTTTTTTAACGTAGAACATTGGACTTCAGAATCCGAACGTATGAAGTAATATTCCTCGTGTGGGACCACGATGTTTTCCCTTCGTTCGTTACAAAAGGAAATGAGCAAATGAGCTCAAAATATACGTTTTAAGTTCTATTTACACTCTTTATGGCAAAACAGCGACACAAGTTAAATAGCTGCGTAAATGAACAAACATTCAAACATACCCCTCAAGAAATGACAAAAAATAGAAATAACAACTGTACAATTCTTTCACAAGTCTCGAGACCCTAACAAATTGAGAAATACGTAATTTAAACAAACTGGAAACAGAAAAAGAATTTGAGATAAACACAATGTTTTTAGGAACCCCAGCTGGCTAGTAGGCTTCATAGAAAGAGCAGTCAAGGAGTTGAACTCAGAGGAACTGAAAACAAATCCAGTGAGAAGCAGAGAAGACGGCTTGAAGCTGGGACCACCAGATTTTATAAGACCAGCACCCTAATCATGCTCGGTGTCTTAATGAATCCGGAATCATGATGATCGTTTTCTGTATCCTCCTTCCAAAAAATCGTTATATCATCCTGCATGAGGATAGCGACAAATGTCCATGCCTTTCCTGAGGATACGACTACGAGCGTCCCAAGGGTGGATGCGGTAAATAAGTATCCTCTCCCGGATAAGGTGGCGGAGGCTCTGTCGGATATGTGTAGGGAGGAGGAGGCTCCATCGGGAACGTATAAGATGGGGTACGATAGCCCATTGTGGAAGGTGGGTATCGGTGTAGGTTTGCAGCTGGCTGAGGTGTTGATGCACGAAGAAATTGGCGGCTCGAGTTGTGTCTTATTCTACATCTTAGAGCATGAAGAAATTGCCGCCTTGGGGTTGGACTTCTCCGACGTCTTATGATGCTGCAAGCCATACATATCAGTAACAGAAACAGCGAAACTCCCCCAATGAAAAGGATGGTTAGAACATCTAAGGATAAAGAACAAAAACGAAATTAGTAACAAGCCTTTTGGTTGCCTGCAGAGCAAGCGTCCTATCAGGGCGCGTTAACGTTACAAGGTCGAGATCGTTTATTCAATCGGCCATGTTAAATTTAGAGTTAGAGTGGAATACTCTTTGATCGGTTGCCCCGTTCCCTCCCCTCTCCTGCTTTTAAACCGTCGTCTACCCCCTTAGTACAAATTTCTCTCTCTACCCAGCCTTCTGCTGCTGTAAGAATTATGAAAAAAGGCAGCTGCAATTTTCACCAAGAAAATACTAAGTTCTCGATAGGCGAAATGACCCCTGATCTGCAAGCTAGCCTAAATTTGGAATCTCGGCTCCCTCCGTTACAATAGCTAGCATAATAGTTTGTCTGCGTAACATTTAAAAGCTAGGCACGTACTTTTAGTGGGTCTCGATGTGTTTGCTAAGCACTTTGAAGTGTCATGGATTCACACACACCCTTACCAAGATGTAGAGGTCTTAACACATATGACTAGTTGTCATAGCTTATTGCTATGAATTTGAAGAGATCTTCAATAACCAGCGAGAAGGTAAGGACTTCAGAAATCAGCGGTGTTTACAAACTAAGCAAAAATAACGACGACGACGACAACAACAACAACAACAACAACAACAGCAGCCATACAACAAGAAAACAGCAATACCACACAAGGAGGTTACATACATATCCTTTAGGAAGAAGTTGATGTCATTATTATTGTTGTTATTTTTATCTTTATTGAGCTGATTTATAATGTTCGTTACAACAAAAAGTCAAGCTGTGTGAAGTGTGGACTTACTTGCTTTGTGAACCTGTTCGAACTGAGCTTTAAAACCACTGCAATTGCCATGATTATCTTCGTCAGATCGAAACTGAACCCTCAAGTAGCGGCTAGTGGAAGAAACGTCGCTTGGAAGTGATGCTCCACATAATTTCGTTTTCACTTCACTGGCGGAAGACCAGCCATCGTAAATTTGAACATAATCTTCATCACAGCTCGAAGACCATTCCACGTCGAAGGCACTGAAACTAAGTTTAACCAGCTTTCCATACGGCACAGTTATGACCCAAGTACAATTAATACTTTTGGGATACTTCGATGGGTAAAAGGGACTCTCAAACGTTCCTGACGAGCCCTCTAGCTGTAGATTGTTGTTGTTGATGTTACCTGGGAAACACTTCGTTTTGTTTCTAGCAGCTAAGAAACATAAAAGGCAAAATAAGATATACGAGTTTCATTAACTTCCTCATACGCCATAAAGTGTTCAATTGTAACAAGAAAATCCACACAAAGGAAAGCTGGCGCTGGAGGCTGAGAAAGATAGAATCAGTTTTCTTTAATTTGTAACTCGATGAATTCATTCCATTAAGCAAGCTAAAAAAAATTAAAATTGTAACGCTTCAGGGCTGGAACTAATCTTTTCAGTTTCTTTCCAAAAACACAAACTGACGATTACCCTGGCCACAGAGGATCAGTTGGATTCTACCATACTACGCATTAAATCACCACTGATTTCCTTCCACTTAAACTGCGTCAACTTCTCCAGATCAACAACAGTCAAGGTTTATGGTGTTCCAGAATATTTGGTTGAACTTCTTAAATCAAAAAGAGTCTTCATGTAGTTGTTAGCCATAAAGTCCTCAACTCTTTTCAGCTCCCTTTTAAGCAGCAATCTGCACAATATTTTTTTCTGTATCTCCGATCCAGTACAGATTATTGTATAACAATTGAGAAGCTGGCTGCATAACCATTATACACCGAATTTCAAGTTGTATAGGGAGTTTTACAATACATGCAATGCTCGACATTCCAAGGAAACATGCTTCCTTGCAATTGTACTTGCCTAAATTTATAGTCCTTTGTTCCATCTGAACAACGCAAAAACATTTCGTGGAATCAACGCACAGCCCTGACAAAAATGCAAAAATGTTTCCCAACCGAATTGTAGCTCGGAAGAAAAAAAAATTATGTAAATATGACCAAAAATAGTTATCAACATCAACAGAGCAATTAATGTTTTGCGCCGACATTCAATGGTTATACACTCGGCGCTTTTGTTATCAAAAACTGGAAGCTTCCATTCCAAATTATAAGATTAAAAGTGATGTTAACTTACCGTAATTTTCAGCACTTGAAAATCCAATCCAGGCCGCAAAAATCAGACCTGAATAAGTGGATGAGAATAGCATAAAAATGAAAGAAGAGATCAGAATTTTTTTAAACTACGTCGTTATCAATCACTTTCTGTAGCATGCATCACTAGTTTGTGTTGTGGTTCAAATCTTAATGTTTCCTTTGTTCATAGCTAGTATGTTAATCAGTAAGGAAGGATCACGATCTCTCATGCCATAGATATTAAATATTAGTTTCAGTCAAATCAAAGCTAATTACTGAAAGAGCCACCTTGACTACGAATAGTTTCCTTTTATCCACTCGTGACAAGACCTATAAGATTTTTCTTGAGGAGAGCCTCGAGTTTTAATTAATTGTACGTGATATGAACAGGTCGGGCCAGGAGGCAGATTAAAAACAACTACTTAAACATGCACATTTTATTGTTGAGAGTTAGTCTTCAATTATCATTGGATCTAACCTGAAATGTAAAGCTAATGAAAGATATATTTACTGACATGGAAGAGCTCGTTGGAAGCTATGTTGTTACTCAACCGAAAATCAAATAATATCATAATAAATTCAGTGTGATCATTTCTTTACATTGTAGCTTTCACTACAATTGTTCAAAACATCTCTGAGGAATTAGATAAATTATTTGCGTTACCATTCGGTTAAGTTAACTTCTACACGATCACGAAAAATACTGAAAAAAAAATTGTAACTGATAATATCCGCCCGAGGAAATAAGTTTCGCTTTTAGCTGAGATATTCCGTTCCATCACTACCTGGAATAATTTCTATGCATCTCAAATGCATTGGAAACCTTAATCGCAAGCTCTAATCAAGTTCAGTTAACTAGTAAACATTCCGTTCTTGGGAAAAATGTTAATAACTCAGTAGGCTTAATTCTAATGCCAGTCAAGTCAATCACGATTTCAAGCCTTTGAAATTTTTAACGGCGTTATTTACTACTTCAGATACTTCGCATCGAAGAAAAAAATCGTAGATTATAATCCGCGTCACCGATATAAAGACTGATATCTATTAGTAGATATCAAGTTTGATTCATAGAAACTCACCCATTGATGTTAACGAGTCCATAATTTATGTTGTGCGATGAAAGAGTTAAACATGTCAAAGACTCTCGTAAAGTGTTACCAAAATTCACGTCACCTGCTAACGTCTTTTAAGGATGCGGTGGGTCACATTCTTCATCGACCATTTCGCTGAAGTTTCAGAACGTAGCGACCAAGATACACAAAATGATTATACCCAAGTTGTTTTCTAAGCAATTTTTGCTTTCATTATTGATTGGCGCGATGGGAGAGAAAGATTTGGGCACTAGTTAATCACAGTCACGCTATTCAAGGGTCACAAAAGGCCTGAATCTTAATAAGTGCTCTTAAAATCCTTTCACTCTCAGAAGTGATTAACATGTAACTTCTCCCCGTAAAATCCATAACGTGAATAGAGATCAGGTAGAGAGAATAATTAAACTTATCAGGTAGAAGTTTTTATCTTGATCTAACACCAAATTCTCGTAGCTTATTTACAAGGAAATATTTAACAGCTAGAAGGGAGAATGAACAATCAGATCTTAGAAGTTTAAGGGTTAAAAGAAAAAAAGAAGAGTAGAGGTGATTTCCGGCGTAATTTCTTTTAATTGCTCATTCATATACTTAAGTGGTTGCCATATTTTCAGTTTAAGAAAAAAAAATTATTTTTCGATAGTTCAGGTTGTGTGATTTTCCAAACTTGTTAGACGAATTCGTGGACCGAGGTCACCTTGGATGACCACAAACAACTCCCTGGCAGCGCGCAGCCGGGAACATAGTTCATAAAAGGCTAAATGAAAGGAGGCACGGGATGGGGGAGGATTTCATCCAGCACTGTCCTTAATTTATAATAAAAGGCCTTCTATCGGGTAATTGCAACTTCTGCCTTTGTTGTTGTTGCCTTTGTTTGGTTTTTATAATGGTCTCTGATTACCAAACTTGCCCCTCGCAAAAGGACTGGCGGTGTTAATGCTGCCTCAGTGATTTGATAACAAGTGAGCTGACTGTTCAGGATTCGTCGAGACCGGAGCATAATCCACTCTTGGGGATGACTCATTGGCTCCAGACTGAGTAGGCAGGGATGTGCGAGACGTGGTCGGTGCTGGTGCCATTGGAATTCTTTCTACCCCAGCTCCACGTCGTTTGTTACTTCGTGTCCTCTTATACACCATAAAGCAAACCACTGCAATTACTATGACCATCAAAGAAGATACAATTGCGACAACGATGGCCAATGATTTGAGCTCTGAAAAGAAAACAAAAGAAATCAAAATTTCATCTTGGGGAGGTTAATTAGTCATTTGTAGATCACAAAGGAACAAACTGCCAAACTATCAGTTGGTGAATCCTGTCATTTTCTAGCAAGTGTCATTGTAGCTTGCAAGCAGGCTATCGTCATTAATGCATCGGTACGAACATTTCTTCGGCACGGGCGTTTCTTCGGCACGGGCGTTTCTTAGGCACGGGCGTTTCTTCGGCTCGGGCGTTTCTTCGACACGAACGCTTCTTCGGCAGGAGCGTTTCTTCAGCAAGAGCATTTCTTCGGTACGAACGTTTCTTCGGCACCGGCGTTTCTTCGCTCGCGAGAAAGTACGAAGCCTTGAGCAATGTGAGTCGGCGAGAGATGTGCGAGGGGTTCAGTACCCACTATTTATGCCATATCCCCGAAAAGTCCCGGCCGGGTATATGCGAAGTTATGAGGCATAAGTGAGCAAAAAGATAAAAAGTCCCCCCCCCCCCTCCAAAAAAAAAAAAAACCCTTTCATTAGCTCACGCTTGTAAAGCTCCTAAAAGCGCAAGGACAACACTTTTAAGTCATCTGATTTTGACTTTAAATTCTGAAAAACGCTAGCCGAAAATAGCTGCATGTACCTCGCAAGTTACAACTTACTACTTATAGCTTTAAAAGAAGCCTTGAATCCAGTACGTAATACATCAGGCTCAGAGTCGGAGTTGAATCTGACCAACATATGCCGACCAGTTGACTGAACTTCGCGTATGACAGAATCTCCGCAGTATTCTTCTAAAGTGCGGCTCTTGTTAGTCTCTCCATCAAAGATCTGCACAAAATCAGAGCACCCAATTGGACTTATATCAAATTTTTCAAAGCTGAGTTCTACTCTCTTTCCCTCCGGTACGGTGATGAGCCAAACACAGACTAAATCCGTGGGGTAATACTTCAGGGGAGTTTGTAATGTCCCCTCTGTGCCAGTTAACTTCAGGTTTCCATTATCGGGATTCCCCAGCAAACAAACTTCTTTGGAACGAGAAGATGCAACAGGTTCAACTAGATTTAGTATAAGAAAGAAAATATGTTTGAGTGAAATCTGGAAAATGTGGACACCAAAAGGACAGGGTTTCACAATAAGCGGTTACTCAGGAAATACAAATCAAAACAAACAAAGAGGAAAAAAAGAGAGCGAAAAAAAAAAAAAAGGGTCTTCATGGTATAAATGGCCTTATTATTGAAACAATCTTCTGCCGTCTCTGTTTCAAGAGCCACCCTCTTAGAAAGCAAAATTTAAAATAAAATAAATTATAAAAATGCGTGTGCCTGCTAATCTCCGACTCACCCCCCCCCC